GGCAACAGACTACCTGAGCTCTCTCTCCTCCTCCTCCATCAACAGGGAGAGTGTACGTATGGGATTTGAACTTTTCCTAAGGCCCGGGGTGCTTGAGGCTGACATCCCAGGACTGTTCCTGACATGCGCTTATTCTTGCCCCCACAAAGCCCTCAGACATAAGGGCATGGTTCTTGGTGCTTGGTGCGGGGCTGGGAACATGGGGTTCTGATGCTCATCTTGTCGACTGTGTGCCCTTGGCACTGACATTCAGCAGCCAGCCTACACCGTGAGCTAGGTTCACCCCACCTCACCAGGGCCCTGCCTCCTGCATCTGGCTACGCTCTCTGCCATGATGTCAACTGCTCCTGGGGTCTCAGACATGACCTCATACAGAGAAATCCTGCCCACACCTGACCCTATATTTCTGTGCCTGACTAGAGAGAGATAGACCTACCTTTGGCCCAGCATCTTGAACCAAACCAAATCAATTTGGGGTTTTCCTCCTCTCTAGTCAAAAAACAAAAGGAATGGAACAAAACCTGGATCTCCTTATCTGCATTACCTTGGTAACATGTTTGTTTTTCCACCTTAGACGATAATTATTTATTTATGTGTTTTCTATGGATTTAGTATGTATGGTATCTGTCCATGTTGTTGGAGGAGGATGCATGTGTGTGCAGAGGCCAGGGGAGGGTGTCCAGGAACAAGTGTCCTGCTCTATCACTCTGTCCTACTCCCTAACCCCGGAGCTAGGCCAGCGGCCAGCAAGCCCCGAGAACTCTCCTGCTTCGGCCCCAGTGCTGGCATTGCAGGCAGGAGGGGCCATTCCCAGCCTGTGCATAGGCGCTGGTGATTCAGACTCGGTTCCTTGGGCTTGTGCGGCAAACACTCTCGCCAACCGAGCCTTCTCTCTGGCCCCACCTTGGGGGCTTCTCTTGCCATCTACCTTGCTACCAGTCCCCAACTCTAGGGGCCTTCCAGACTCTTGGAGTATCCAGCTGGTCCCAGTGTCACATCATGTCAGCCCTGTGTCCTCCTCAGCTCAGCGTTCCTTCTCCACCGGGATCAGGGTCACTGTTGTTTTCTTCTCCTCTCTGCCCATTCAGTCCAGACATTTTCTCTGCACTGCTCCAACGCCTCCAAGTTATCAACAGGGCGATAGCTCACTCTGGTATTTGAGTCTTTTCACAAATAGACAGAGAAAGAGAGAGTGTGTGTGTGTGTGTCTGTGTGTCTGTGTGTGTGTGTGTGTGTGTGTGTGTGTATGTCTGTGTGTCTGTGTGTGTGTCTGTGTGTGTGTCTGTGTGTGTGTGTGTGTGCGCGTGCGCGCGCACACGCGCATGCGCGCGCACACGCGCATATTATACAAATGGATGTGTGGTACACAAGGATGTGTGTGCATGGGTGTAGAGGTTAGATGTCAACTCAGGCCTACCTTATGTTTTAAGAAAGAGTCTCTCACTGGCCCAGAACTTGCCAAGTGGGCTGGCTGGCAAGTGAACGCCAGGTGCTTTGGTATCTGCTTCCCCAGCACTGCGCTGGAAAGCATGACAAACCACAACTGGCCTTTTCTCATGGATTCTTGGGACTGAACTTCCATCCTCATGCTTGCAGAACGAACCCTGCTGACAGCTGTCTCCCCAACACTGGTTCCTTCTAGAGGCCCTGTTGCCCGTGTCCCACTCACCACACTCCACATGCGGTCAGCTGGGCAACTGGAATGGCCTTACATATCCCAACTTCCACAGTGCTGCTGGGACTGTCTCCTCCACTGCACACACTCTGCCAAACAGTCTCAACTTGTCAAAACCCTACCTGTCCATCAAGCTCAGCCAATTGTCACTCTCCCCTGAAGCCCTCTTCCATCCGCTTCCCGAGAGCAGAGCTGTGCCTGGTGTCTGGCATTTGTTACATTGCGGTTCTTTATCACCTGGGAACACTTGTGGGATTCTCTTCCTAATTAGCATAGATGCTCTACAGGTCATGGGTCATTGGTTCCCAGCTGTTACACAAGGTGTGCCAGCCTCATCCTCAGGACACGACTAGTGACAGGACAAGTGTGTGAGAGGCTTCTATGTCTGTGGGGTTAATCGGGACATTCCCTGTGTCCCCACCCTGGGGGAATGAGCCCCGGGCATCATTTCAGCCTCCAGGGCTACATCCGGTTTCCCAGCACTGGGATCACAAGCACCCAACACTACCTCTGGCTTTCTCCAAGGCTTCAGGAAGTCTCCATGTCCTGCCTTGGGTCTCCTCCCTCAGCCTTGTGGCTGTGGGAGCACCAAGCTGTCCTAGATCACGGTGGGGCACTTAGGAAGAGCGAGTTGGGTGTTTGCTGCCATCTAGTGAAGGAAGTGTAGTCCAGCCTCCGGCTGGAGCTGGTGCTTGCCTTTGGAGGAACCCACCATGCCTAGCTAGGATAGACACATGCAAGGGGCCTGGAGCTTCTGCACAGAGAAGATCCTATTCAGCACCATGGACGGTGTGCTGCAGGAGCAACAGCCCCCCCTGGTGGATCCTCCCACCTCCAGCAAAGAGGCATTCCCCAAGAAAGAAAGCCAGCCCGTTTAGAAAATTTGGTGTGTTTGGGGGTGAGGGGGAGTGTCCGGCGCTGAGAAAGGAAATGTGAGCGCTCATCCCTAACCAAGATGCTGTCTCCAGTAGACAACATGCAAAGGAAAACTGCTTTTCTCCAATGGCGTCTCACTGGTATATAAACTACACTTAAGGACAGATCCCATGCCCAGCAATAGATGCCCAGCACAAAACAAACTCGGTGGTATTTTTGTAGATTTTTTTTTATTATATTGCTTTTTTAATCTTACTGGTCTTTTGCTTGTATATTATGGCATCCAATTTTGTGTTTTTATGAGTTTTCTCTATCTTTGTGTGTGTGTGTGTGTGTGTGTGTGTGTGTGTGTGTTTCATGAATGTGTCCATGTCTATGTGTGTTTCAGTTTCTTTTTTTGGTTTTTTGTTTTGTTTTGTTTTGTTTTTCAAGACAGGGTTT